TTTACTAAAATTTTTAAAAAAAAAATGTTATATCCTAAATTCAATAATAGCACACAATGCACTGTTGTAAATGTATGCATTTAGAAATCTAATACAATAGAAAATAAAAATATAATATAAAGTTGAAATAATAAAAAAATATGCAGAAATAAAATTATATATGGTTAATCTATATTAACATTTTTACTGAACAATGCATGAGAACATTTAATTATTGGGAAAAAAAAGAAATCCCTTACTTGACAATTTCCATGTACAAATATTATTTGATTTAGGATTAGCCAGAACAAAAACAGTCAAGATAGTTACATTCAGCTTGCATTTTAGATATTGCATTCCCAAAAGGGCCTGCAGAGTCATTATAAGTATCCCGATATTTCTTTAAACGAGAGGACAAATAAATAAAAAAATTAAATTGTGCAAATTTATAAATTTGACGTTTTTAGAAAGGATCATGATCGTTGCAGTTCTGATAGTTATCTGCCTTGCCCATCCCTCCACTTACTTACAAAGGTTCAGAAAAATCTCCAATAGTACAAAGGAATATTTTAGACAGTGTTGTAGATACCGGACAGCCAACGGCCCTGTTTAAGGTGTAGCTACTTATTAGTAAGTTGTGGGACTGAGTATCCCCTGAATTGGTGTTTGATTGCGGGGGATATTATTAGAGGTAGGAAACGGGGTATTCCCAGATAATGTATATAGAAGAAGCCTGAGTCTCTATCCATTGGCCCCTCAAGATTATATATACACTATATTGATAAAAATATTGGGACATACCTCAATGATTGAATTCAGGTGTTTTAATCAGACCCATTGCCACAGGTGTATAAAATCAAGCACCTAGACATGCAGTCTGCATTTATTATTATTATTATTACTGGTATTTATATAGCGCCAGCATATTATGCAGCACTTTACAATATTATCAAAGGGGGAGAATTAACAATAAATGAGACAATTACAAAAACTTACAGGAACAATAGGTTGAAGAGGGCCCTGCTCAAACAAACTATAGGAGGTGGGGCGTAAAACACAACAGGACAGGAGGTAACAATCAAACAAGATAGAGTGAAACAGAGCTGGAGGAGAGAATAGAGTGCTTCCCTTTAGGAGAGAGCAAGGGACAGGTACGTGAGGTAGAGGTAACTCTGGGAGGCCATAAGCTTTCCTAAAGAGATGGGTTTTGAGGCACTTTTCAAATGATTGAAGAGCTTGATGGTCGTAGGCAGGCTATTACAAAGAAAAGGAGCCACCCACGAGAAGTCCTGCAAGCGTGAGTTGGCCGTACGGGTGCGAGCAGCAGACAGGAGAAGGTCACAGGCAGAGCGGAGAGACCGAGAAGGGGCATCTTTTTTTTTTAAGATGGATACTACAGTAGCATGTTTAAGGGCTGCAGGGACAACACCAGAAGAGAGAGAGCACTTAAAATTGTGTGTTAAGGAAGGCACAAGACAATAGGAGAGAGATCTGATAAGGTGAGAGGGGACAGGATCAAGCGGGCAGTGGTGGGGCGAGAGGAAAGGAGAAGGGCAGCCAATTCTTGTTCAGTAGCCTGGGAGAAAGTCTGAAAGGTAGGAAAGGTATGATCCAGGTGTGGTTGAGAAATAGAGGGGCAAGGTGGTGAGAATTCTTTCCTTAGCTGTACAATCTTGTCGGTAAAGTAGCATGCAAAGCTATCGGCTGTAAGGTTAGATTGGGGGATGGCAACAGCAGGGCAAATAAGGGAGGTAAAGGTAAAGGTTAAAGCATGAGCTGATGAGGGAGGAAAAGTATGACTGTTTGGCAAGGGCAAGGGCTGTGCTGTATGAACGCAACATCAATTTGTAGTAGAGGAAGGCCGACTGGGTGCGTGACTTCCTCTAGCAGCGTTTAGCAGAATGGGAGCATCTCTGCAGGTAGCGTGTTGATTTAGTGTGCTACGGTTGGGGGCATGTTTCCCTCAAGGTGCGTGTTTGAAGCGGGACTGCAGCGTCCAGGGCAGAGGTGAGGGTAGTATTAGCTGCTGGAGTTCAATATAATTCAGATTTCTTCTTAGTTGAGGGGGTTAGGCTGAGAATGATGGGGTAAGGGGATATTGAGAGCAAATGATAATAGGTGGTGATCTGAGAGAGGAAACGGAGTGTTGCAGTGATTAGAGATTGTACATTGATGAGAGAAAATAAGATCAAGGGTATTGCCAGCTACATGGGTGCAGGACCTAGCCCACTGCGACAGCCCAAGGGAGGAGGTCAGTGAAAGTAGTTTTGAGGCTACTGAAGACAAGGGCAGGTTAATGGGAATGTTGAAGTCCCCAAGAATTAGGGATGGAATATTAGAGGAGAGGAAGTAGGGAAGCCAAGCAGCAAAGTGGTCAATTGAGAGGAGAAGGGAACCAGGGGGACGATACATAACGGCAATGTTAGCAGAGATAGGTTTGAAAAGGCAAACTGAATGATGAGAAAGAGAGGGAAGGTATCACATCCTGTTCCTGCTGTGGATCATTTCTGGTGATGGCTTCTGGTATCCAGTACTCTTTTTACAATTCCTGTTTAGTTTTTCTTGGTTTTTCTGGTTTTCTATTCCAAGTCTGGTTTTCTTCATGCTGGGTTTTCTGGGTTCATTCCTTTATTCCGTTCCTGGAAATCCCAGTCTCTTGGATTCCTTTATTTGTTTGTTTTTTTGTTGCCACACCCATTCCTTTTAGATTAATCCTTTTTGTTTCAGTCTGGTCCTGCAGGCAGTGGTTTAATTTCCTCTGCTCATTCCTTTGCAGGTAAGTACTGTGTGCGTTTTATTATTGTTTATTTAGTCATGCATATCTAGGAAGTTAGGACCCACCGTAATTGGAGTACTTTGGCGCAGTGGTGGTCTGCATACAGGTGATACTCTAATAATTAGAATATTGTGCAAAAGTTTATTTATTTCAGTAATGCAACGTAAAAGGGAAAACTAATATATGAGATAGACGCATTACATGCAAAGCAAGATAGTTCAAGCCATGATTTGTCATAAGTGCGATGATTATGGCTTACAGCTCATGAAAGTCCCAAATACACAATCTCAGTAAATTAGAATATTACATGCAATCAATAAAACAAGGAGTGTACATAGAACAATATTGGACCTCTGAAAAGGATAAGCATGCATATGGACTCAGTACTTGGTTTGGGCTTCTTTTGCAGCAATTACTGCCTCAATGCGGCGTGGCATGGAAGCTATCAGCCTGTGGCACTGCTGAGGTGTTATGGAAGACCAGGATGCTTCAATAGAGGCCTTCAGCACTTCTGCATTGTTCGGTCTCATGTCTCTCATCTTTCTCTTGGCAATACCCCATAGATTCTCTATGAGGTTTAGGTCAGGCGAGTTTGCTGGCCAATCAAGCACAGTAATCCCACGGTCATTGAACCAGGCTTTGGTGCTTTTGGCAGTGTGGGCAGGTGCCAAGTCCTGCTGGAAAATGAAGTCAGCATCCCCATAAAGCTCGTCTGTGGAAGGAAGCATGAAGTGCTCCAAAATCTCGTGGTAGACGGCTGCATTGACCCTGGACTTAATGAAGCACAGTGGACCAACACCATCAGGTGACATGGCTCCCCAAATCAACAAAGACTGTGGAAACTTCATACTGTACTTCAAGCATCTTGCAGTGTGTGCCTCTCCATTCTTCCTCCAGACTCTGGGTCCTTGGTTTCCAAATGAGATGCAAAAGTTGCTCTCATCAGAAAAGAGGACTCTGGACCACTGAACAACAGACCAGGTTTGTTTTTCTTTAACCCAGGTAAGACGCTTCTGATGTTGTTTGTTGTTCATGAGTGGCTTGACAAGAGGAATACTACATCTGAAGCCCATGTCCAGGATCCGTCTGTGTGTGGTGGCTCTTGATGCACTGACCAGCCTCAGTCAACTCCTTGTGAAAGTCCCCAACACATTTGAATGGCCTTTTCCTGACAATCCTCTCTAGGCTGCGGTCATCCCTGCTGCTTGTGCACCTTTTTCTTCCATACTTTTCCCTTCCACATAACTTTCTATTAAGTTGCTTTGATACAGCACTTTGGTAGCTTTCCCTCCTTATGGAGGGTGTCAATGATGGTTTTCTGCACAACTGTCAGGTCAGCAGTCTTCCACATGATTGTGATTCCTACTGAACCAGACTGAGAGACCATTTAAAGGCTCAGAAACCATTTGCAGGTGTTATGGTTTACTTAGCTGATTAGAATGGGACACTGTGAGCCTAGAATATTGCACCTTTTCACAATATTCTAATTTACTGAGATTGTGGATTTGGGGTTTTCATGAGCTGTAAGCCATAATCATCGCACCTATGACAAATCACGGCTTGAACTATCTTGCTTTGCATGTAATGCGTCTATCTCATATTTTAGTTTCCCCTTTTATGTTGCATTACTGAAATAAATGAACTTTTGCACGATATTCTAATTTTTTCGAGTATCACCTGTACATCTTGGCCATTTATATATGTCTAATCAATATCCAATGTTTATTACACATATTAGTACTTAGTTATGTCTCATCTTGTTTGCCTTGTATCTCTTGTCTTTATTTATTTATTTTGTCTTCCCAGTTCATGTACAGTCCTGTCCAGTCCATGCCTTGTTCTGGTTTCCCTCATGTCTTGTGTATGTGTTCTGGACTCTGCTTTCTGTCCTGCTCTGGTTCTGGGTTTGTCTGCTCTTATTGTCTTATCTTGTTTGGTGCCTGTTCTAGTCTTGCCTTGTTTCTAGCACTGGATACATATCTGCTGCAGAGCCTCCCTATCCAGATCTTGGGAGGTCTGCATAGTTTCACCTAGGACCTGGGATCCGCAGAAGCTGCATCTGGCCCCTGGTATGTGGCCGCACAAACCCAGGCGCTCAACACCAGGGGGTGTGTGGTTACCATGCACCAGGCCCTGATTGTTAATTTCCACGAGGTTGACTCCTATCATCATCAGGAACACAGGGGTCCTGGTCTCTGTACCGCCACCCGGGGAGGTGGGGAGAGGTTTGAAGGAGCAGTGAGGTGAGAGCAGAAACCCTACACCACCACCTTTGCTTTCAGAGTTTCTTGGGTTGTGGGAAAATTGAAGACCACTAAAGGATAGAGAGGCTGGGGTAGCGGTGTCAGAGGGAGAGAGCCATGTTTCAGTTAAGGCTAGTAGGTCTAGGGAATGAGAGAGGAAAATCTCATGCACAGCAGTGGATTTAGTAACACTGCAAACAGAGTGTGCATTCCAGAGGATTAAAGGAAGAGTGACATAAAATGGGCATGAGATTATTGTGATTCCTGGAGTTAGCACATGGTGGGTTTGCAGAGGTGGGACTGGGATTTGGAGAGACATCACCAGCTGCTAGGAGCAGAAGGATAGAAAGTAAGAGAAGGTGGGAGTAGGATTTAGAGGTTTTGTGAGAGTGTTTGTATTTAGATGGTTTAGAAAGGGTTGGTGGAGATAGGCTGGAAAGGTGGTGGTAAAGTGGTTGAATAGAGAGGGGAGGGAAGTAAAGTGGGAGCAATGAAAATGGTGTCAGCAGGGACAGGTGAGCAGAGGGATAACGAGAGGTGAGAGTGAAAGTAAATAATATAAGGGAGAGCATTCTCTAAGGAGAATAAATGAGTTTATGTTATAAAGAAGGAAAATTAGGATTTTTAGTTATGCAAAATTAGATGAGGTGGGATCTTAAAGTCACATGAGAGATGAGAGGGGTCAGGGGTTGCAGGTAGAGGGTGTGATAGTTGAGCAGGTGATGAGCGTTTGAGAGACATAATTAGTGGGTTTGGAAAGTCAGGTAATTTGTCTAGAAATGCAATGAGTTGGGTAATGTATCTATAAAGTGAGTTCCTTGCCGTGGGGTGGGGTGGGTGGGAAGCCATCCAAAAGAGCTACCTCTGCTTAAGGCTGTAGCTTGTCTTGGTAGCTGTGAGTCCTGGGAGCTAATGTTCTGTTTTGAACCCAGGATCTACTTAAGGCTGTTGCTTGTCTTGGTAGCTGTGAGTCCTGGGAGCTAATGTTCTGTTTGGGACCCAGGCTCTGCTTAAGGCTGTAGCTTGTCTTGGTAGCTGTAAATCATTCATAGAAAAAACGGGTCATTCTGAAGAGCATCTGTGCAGTAAGTCAGTTCATGAAATTTCATCCCTACTAGATATTCCACTTAAGTGGTTTTATTGGAAAGTGGAAGAGATTAGAAACAACATCAACTTACCTTTTGTGTCACGTGGAATGGGTTTCCGTGGTTGAGCAGCAGTATGTAAGCCTAATATCACCAAGCACAATGCCAAGCATCGGATCGAGTGGTGTAAGGCACATCACCACTGGACTCACACACACTTCTCTGTTTGGCACATTGGGTTGGGAATGTTACTTGCCTGACTGCATTGTGCCAATTATAAAGTTTGTTGGAGGAGAGATAATGATATGGGGCTGAAAATCAGGACTGTTCCTCCGAAATAGAGATTGTTGGGAGGGCTAAATAGTGATGACTAGACGACTGGGTCAGAGCTTCTGCAAAAGGGCAAGTCTTGTGGGGTGTTCCCGATATGCAGTGATTAGTGCCTTCCAAAAGCTTTGCAAGGAAAGACAACCGGTGAACAGGTGTCAGGGTCATGGTGCCTAAGGCTCATTGATGCACATGGGAGCAAAGGCTGATTACACAGAAGAGTTACTGCAGCTGAAATTGCTTAAATAATGTAATGTTGGCCATGATGGTAAGGTATCAGTACATACAATGCATCACAGTTCCCTGCATATGGAGTTGCGTAATCGCAGACTGGACATAGTGCCCATGATGACTCATGTCAACCACCAAAAGCACCTTTAATGGGGACCTGTCAAAACTGGACCATGGAGCAATGGAAGAAGGTTGCCTGGTCTTATAAATAATGTTTTCTTTTAGATCAGATGGATGGCTGGGTGGTGTACCTAAGGAAGCAATGGTAGCAGGATAAACTACTGGAAGAAGGCATCCGGCGGAGGAGCGTTATGCTCTGGGCAATGTTCTGCTGGGAAACCTTGGGTCCTGGCATTCATGTGGATACTACTTTGACACGTACCACCCCCCAAGAGATTGTTGCAGACCATGTACATCCCTTCATTCCAATGTTGTTTGCATGTCACACATTAAGCAAAACAAAGTTTTCTGAAATTAAACAACTTTTGACCTGTATGTGCAATTTACTAAAAATAAAATACTTCAGTGTTTTTTAGTGTAGACAGCATGGGAGAAATTATTTCCACTCCCACTCAGGACATGATGTAGATAACCACAGACAAAAGTTATAAAGGGGTTAATTAGATAACATAGTTTAGTTTATGTGTTATTACCACTTTGATGAGGATCTGAGTAGAGTTTATATTTCTGGTGAAGATAAAATGACTGACACAATATATTCAGACATTCTGTATACACAATATCGTAACATAGAGTAAGTTTGTAAGACCTTCAAATTCTCACATATGCACAAGTATTTTTATTGGTTATCCATCCATAATTCAAATGAATCCCCAGACATTTCATCCACATCTCACATTACCAAAGACAAGCCACATCTAATCAAGAATTTTTTGCAGTCTTAAATGTGTAGCAACATAAATTATGATCAATTATGTTGGGCAATTAAAGCCTAACTGAACCAGCATCAAATAACCAATCTGATATAACAATTAAAGGCTTTCCCAACACAATGAAATACCATATTGACCATTTTTCACTGCCTACAACCAAAGCACATAGACTATGCCAAGCTTCACCTTCCCAAAGAAAATTAATCTATCTATCTGTCTATCTGTCTGTCTGTTGTGTATGGAATGCTATTCCCCCCAAATAATTAAGTAATGTAAATCTACACTTTTTTAAAAAATTGTGTATTTATACATCCTTTGTATAACCTTTGGAGAGATAAAAAATTTTAGCGAATACACAGATTTCTTCCACTTGTAGTATTTAAAGACAATAATTAAAGTCCAGCGTCAATAACTGACTGAATTTTTTTTTTACTCAAACGCTATCGCACAACAGTTTTCTAAGTGATCATAATCCACATTTCATAAACCTTTTTTTTTTCTGGCAAGAATTCTGCAAACATCAGAAAATATTATCATCACAAGGTCTAATTCATGATTTACACGTTAATCCTGCAATGTTTAATTAGGCAGGCAAGTATGGTGAGGTTAACAACAAAAACTAAAACTAAATGGTGCTTCTGCACGTTATTGATTTGCATTACAAAAGGTTGCAAATAATGAAGTGCTAAATCTAATAGCTGACAGGTGTGTAATTAACCTATTATGTTCCACAGATGGACATTATAGGGTGTATGCGTCTTTAAGGTATTAAAAATTGACTTTTCATTATTGTGCACATGCAAAATTGGTATGTTATCAATGTTGCAATGTTGTATTTTATTAACAATTATTATTTATCTTTTCATTGTTCTAATTGGTTAGTTAACTAATTAATTGTAAAGCGCTACGGAATCTGTTGGCGCTATATAAATGGCAATAAAAATAATAATAATAATAATTGTGAGGGGGTTGTTTGTGATCTTTTAAAGATAAACATCCATAGCTTTCGAAAAATTCCATCAGGAGGTAAAAATGTATTATTTTGTTTTAATGGAATTTGGAGCAGTCGATGCTGTTTTGAAATCACGCATAGATGTCCTGTAATGTACCCAGGACTCTCCTCATTCCTGGCTGCTAAAATGCAAATAATTAATTTTGAGCCATATAAGCGCTCGTACAGTTGAGAAGATGGTAATCCAGCGATTCCAGTTCTTCCTCACCCAACAGAGGGACTGATTAAAAATCTGCACTGGAACAAAGGTTTATACAAGTTACAGCCTAAATTCCATTTTTGGGTTGCTTAGTTATGCATTAAAAAATAACCCTTGTTTATATGGTGTTGGTAGGGAAAGGGTTAAACAATATAAACAATGTAAATACCGTTAAATACCTCAAGACATTTTAAAGCCTTAGTTTGTGTCGAATTTAACAGTTTTTCAAATAAAAGAATATTTTTTTCTAACGAAATGAAGAAAAATGTCCTTAAAAATCTTGTTTCCTTGCATTCAGCAAAACTGTATAATTGAAGGTTTGTGGGGTCTTTTGGAGTCTATCACCGTTGTATTTATGTCCATGCAACCTTTCTGAGTAATTTTTTTTCTCTCTATTACGCATCCTGTGCATCACTTTGACCTTGTTCTCAAGCCGATAATATAACAATTTCCAGAGATCACAGGTAGGTTTAAATCGCTTCCAGGCCCGTTAACAATACATTCCATTTTACCAATATAAGTTAGATTGAATGGAAGGACGATCTTAGACCACCTCTTTAGCAACCAACAGCGAGAGTAACCACAACAAAAGGCTTTTTAAATATGGTGCTGAATTATATACAAAAGTTCACTTGGCTTATTCTTTTGTTTCCATTGACAGTAGATTATCACTCCGTTAGTTTCAAATATATGTCATCTGTCTTTGTTAAGCTCTTTGAACATCCTATGTTATATCAATGATTTTCATATCTCCTAAAACAGTGCCTATACTTGGATTAGATTGCATTGTCACAACCCAATATGCTCCCACACATGGGCAAAGAAGCTCTGAGACTTATTTTGTGATGTAAATTCTACACGAGAATGCAAGATCATTTAAAAAAAAAAAAAGGATCTGGTGGGCTTAAACCAGGTGGCACGCCATGACTGTACTACAGATAGGGCTACTTGTATCAGAGAGTTACAATTTTCATTACATTCGCCAGTGTGCACAAAAGGAAGATAAGACTGCTAAACATTTGTGTCGTTTGATGAATTTATTAACAGCTTGTGTAGTTTCACTGCAAATTTCAAAAATAAATATTCTTTTAGCGTTAAACCTAATGAATGGCGATACATCTATTTAAGAGATGCTAAGTCTTTTAGCTCCTTTGCATGATACTATGATCTGAAACCTAATACAGTTTATTTGCATAAAAATTCAAAACCAGTCATTATACGTACTTGTGTGTGTGTGTTTCTTTTAAAAGCTGCAGAGCTTCTTCAGTATCAAATGGCTGTATGCTCCTGATTTACTGTATAAAATGTTTTGATTGTACTCGATTCACTATGTATAAAAAAATAAAATACTTTAGAGAAATTTGCACAAGTATTGATAATTATTATTATCTTTTCATTTAACATTTAAGCGTGCCTTGAAGTTACCAAACTAATTCATAAGGTTCCAACTTAGAATCTCACTAGGTCAAGAAGGGGAGAATTTTTCTAAACCACCAGGTGGCTTTAAGCAGGTACTGGACAAAGTATTGGGAATGACATAAAGCTTGCTGGCTATTAGCGTTAAACCTATGCTACTGTGTTTTGTTCTCGCCTTATCACAGTGATCTTGTCCTGTAGAATGTCACATACTGGTTTAACCTTCAGAGTGACAGCTATGTACTCGATATATGAAAGACTCCAAACTTTTTTTTCTACTAGTTCTCGTGACGAGTCTTTTTTAAACTTGTTTTTTTATTTTTTTTCATTCTGAATACTAAAATAATAAAAGATCAGTAGATTTTTTCTCTGAAAAGAATTTCCAGATTTTTACTTTGTATCTGTGACTGTGTTTGCGTGGTCTTGTGCGTAGATCTGGGAGCTTCATTGAGTGGTTGTGAATGAGTCTGTGCATTAAATTACGTGGCGGTGACTTTAATATTATTATTGGAATTTATATAGCGCCAATTTATTCCGCAGTCCTTTACAATATTGTAAAGTGGGATATTTAAATGAGATAATTACAAAATATTACAGAAACAATAGGTTGATGAAGACCCAGCTCAAAGGAGCTAACAATCTAGAGATTTAATTGGGTATTTGCATTTTTTCTGTGAGGTCACAAGCAGGTCGCCTTGTTCCTGTGGTGGTTAACAGGTTATCTGATACTGGCAATCTCATTCACTTTGTAGAAGTTCAGAGATGTGTGTTAAATTTTTGTGTCTGAGAAGGGATCTGTTTCACTGTGTGGCTAAATGTTTTGTGTTTTTGCTGTGTAAGTGACTGTTTTATGTGTGTGGTCCGATTTGTTTTATTATTCATCATCCCACAAGAAAATTAATAAAATCTCTAGTGAGTATTTGGCTGTATTACTTGCTTTGGAGGCTGGTGATCATTCTCCATATGGGCCTAGTCCTGGGGGATTTCAGTGTGCCCCTATAAGGAATGTAGGGTTTGTTAACATTCCCAAATCAGTAGTAAGAACCAGTTTTAAGAGTTTCTTTTATTCTTGTGACAGTGGTCACTAGTGATGTCGCGAACCGTTCGCAAACTTCCCGCGAACGGCTCGCCACGGTTCGCCACGAACCGTTCGCGGCGAGCTCCGGTCAGCTGACACATCCCGGCCAATCTCCAGCAGACCCTCCCTCCAAGGCCCTCCCACCTCCTGGACAGCATCCATTTTGAAGTCAGCTTCAACATGGATGCTGTCCAGGAGGTGGGAGGGTCTGGGAGAGAGGGTCTGCTGGAGATTGGCCAGGATGTGTCAGCTGACCGGAGC